CTGCCCAGCTAAGCTAATCTCAGGGTCCAGTGTGAAAATTTCACAGAGGCAGTAACTGGGATAGGAACATCCTGGGGTGAGAAAGTTTATGAGAAAATGCTTAGGTTTGTAAGAGCTGAAATAAGATGGAAATTAGTTTCCTCAATCACATTTGTTGCATCACAGAAATGTCAGATGTGTGCCAATGACCTAGGAGGGACTGGAAAAAAACTTTGTTCTTTCACTCTTTGCCGCATACTGGCAGTCATATTGCATGTCCATTCATGTACCACTTGAGATCTAATTAGTGTGTCTTCGTCACAAGAGCTTGGTGTTAATGGACTGACTGGGTTAGAGTCAGAAAGGAATTGTCTCCCAAAACAGAGGAACAGCTGGGATTTGCCCAGTGGTTTTCTGGATTTCCTTTGCAACATGCGTTGCTTTCAAGAGTCATTTGGTAGGGATGGAGCCAGTCCTGCACTGTCTAGTCTGTTTCCCTGCCCTCAATGAATCCAGAAGCTTCAAACTCTACTGAGTTCAGATAATCCCCTGGAAAAGTCTCACACTGCTTACAAATCTAGTGTCAGCTGTCCTTGAGTTTACAGGCCACTGGAACTTGATGTGATTTTGACATTCAGAGCTGAGTTTCCGTTTAGTATATGAGCAGTTAGACCCATGATTATTTGATATCTCTGGTGTCAACACAACAAAATGGATGTGATAAAATGGAATGAAAAACCAGCAGTGCTCTGTCAAGACCAGCCTGGTTACCACATAATAGAAATTAGGCCTCAACAAAGAGTTTTTCTTCTGTAATGCCCAGAAGACCTTGTGGCTAAGATAAAACCTAATTTATTTAATGGTTTTCATGCCCAGAAAGAATAAAGACATGCCTTACCCACAAATCAGCAATTGGACCTCTGTAAACCTTTGCTTGGAAAGGAAAATTAAAATGGATAATCATCTTTTTGTCACAAGATTTTCCTGCTTCCTTTCTTTTCTCAGGGCAGTCAGCAGCACTTTGCAGCTAGTAAATCTGTTTGGCAGGTAATCTGCCACCCATAGACCAGATGCTGCCTTGGCAAGGTTCGCTTTCCTGTTGCCATGGCAAAGCTCAGGCAGGGATGCCGTGGCATGTTGCCAAGGTAATCTGATGGCACAGGCCTTTGTTAATTGAAAGAGGGAAGCAGGCTGGTGCAGCCTGCTTTTCCCTGCCAATCAAGGCTGAACTTTGAGCAGGGCAAAGGACTAATTAACTGCCTCCACCAGCTGTTGGCTCTAGCATGCCAAATCTGACAAGTGGCCAGGGCCATGCATCCTTAACCCTTGCTGTCTATAGAGGAGAGGCAGCAGTTAATGAAACTGTTGAAACACTTGTAAATTTTGCTTTCCTTTGAAAGACTGGTAGTGAGGAAGAAAAAGTAAAGTGGTTTTGTTCCTCCTGAAGAACTGCAAACATTGTGTTTGGTTGGCTCATGACTCCCCCTTTGAGCTGCTGAAGCTGTAAGGACACAGCAGCACACCACTCATGGATAGACTCTCCAGGTGCCTTGCAGAATAAAAATGTAATGTGCACTAAAAGTTTCAAGGCTGACTAGTTAAAGGGATCTGATTCAGCAGTTGCAGGGAGAAACATCTCCAATGCTGACTGTGTTTGCCTGCAAACATCTGTAGTTCCCACTGTGCTAGGAGAGCAAAGCAGTTTGTGTTGAAGGGACTGTGAAAATAAACCTTTCTGAAAGTGACTAGGAATAACTCATGAGTCTTGAGGTTTCCTGCTCTCCTCTTGAGCAGACTCTTCCAGCATCCTTTGTCTTTCATAGTGTCTATCCAAAGCAGATTACAATAACTGTCCATTGCAGCATTCTGGATATAAATCTTTTCACTTTCAGGTGAATTACTTCAGTTTTAGGTGAATTAATTCAACTTACTCTGCTAATAGAAGAACAGTTACCCAAACTGCTTCTTAAATGACAGGCAAATGATTCCTGGCCCCACCATTCTTTTAACTAAACAAAGGGAAGGTTTTTTTTTTGTGTCTGGGCATCTGACTTGCCTGTCTTATTGGTCAGCAAAAAGGATCAACAAGTTTCAGCCATGGGTCTTACAGCTGAAATGGATAAAATCTCTAAACTAACAGCATCTTTACTCAGGGGCTAGTTTTGCCAATGTATGTCTACACAGAGAGAGAGAAAGAAAGACTAAGAGCTATAGTATTCTGTTGTTTGAAATAAGTCTGTTGCTTAAAAGGCTCTGGGCAGTGTAATTTTTACTTTTATAGGCATGTCTTGGATGTGTTTGACTTTTCAAATCCTTTCTTCAGAGATCCAGAGGGGTCTGTTTATAAAATCTGCCTCTCTGACTCATTCCTATATGAAGTTCAGAGAGAAATTTCTACTTCTATGTATAAATGTGTCCCTGATGTTTTCTCCTTGGAAGAATCTTCTTCCAATTCAAACACTTCCTTTCAGAGACAAAAAGGGTGTCTCAGGCTGTGTTCCTATACAGCCCCCTGCACACACACACACACACAAGTGTGTGTGTGTGTATGTGTGGTGTGTACAGAGAGATGCTCTGGCTGCTGTGGGAGCCTTTGCACAAAATCTGAAACATTAACTGTAAAAGCAGCAGAGGGAAATCAATGCTTCTTCTGATCAGTTCATTTGTCCTGCCAAGTAACTGCCTCTGTCTTTTCCTGCCTCAGGCTGCCTGCAACAGTTGTCAAGCCTCAGAGGGACTGAGCTGGCTCTTACCTTCTCTTCCTACCAGAATTAGGAATTAATGCATTTGCACAGCAGCAGCACCACCACCTCTCCTGTGCTTGTTAGCTAGCTGGAGGTCTACCATTGAAACCAACAGGTCAAGGATTGAGCTGAGGCTGGGAAATGCATCATAGCATGGTGTCCTGTTTTCAAGAGCCTCCTAGTCACTGGTAGAACCTTGTGCTTGGCTTCTCCTCAAACTGAGCAGAAACTTGCCAAATACCTGCAATATATATATACCACCATATATGTGTGTTTTTCCACTTCTACACCCATTCTGTACCTGTGCTTAGTGGGTTGGGGTGATGCTATGAACCCACTGAGGCAATCTACCTGAAAGAAAGTATGGAAGTTTATTGTGCTTATTTAAGCTTTTTACATGCTACAGTATATAGCAATAAAAAAATAAAATACAAATATTTTACCAGTTTTCTGTGTAAGGAGAACATTTTTTTTCAAGTTTTATGCCATAGTAATAGGAATATAACACTTCAAAGAGTTTCCACTAGCACTGTGATAGAATAACCACCTTCCCCTAATCTAGGGGAGAAGTTCCTGTTCTCATTTCTTCTCTTTGCTAGAATTAATTGGGATCCTTAAACTTTCTGGCTTTCCAGGGATCAGTCACTGAAGGAAAAAAGTGAATGAAGTCTCAGTTCCAAAAAATGTGTTAGTACTTGGAAGAATACAAATCACACGTGAGAAATCACAGCCTAGGGAATAGAAATGATGTATTTGGTCTACAAACTGCACGGTAGATGGATCTGCCTTTTCAAGATGATTAGAGGGATGGACCACCCATCCTATGAAGAAACACCAAGAGAATTGGGATTGCTCAGACTGAAGAAGAGAAATCTTTGGGGGTGACCCAATGATGGCCTTCCAGTACCTAAAGGAAGCCTACAGGAAAGATGGAGAGAGACTTTTCACAAGGGTGTGTGGTGATAGGACAAGGGAGAATGGCTTCAAACTGAAAGAGAGTAGATTTCAATTACATATTGCAAAGAGGTACTTTGAGTTTGATACAGGAACAGGTTGCCCAGAGAAACTGTGGATGCGCTGAAAGCTGTGGATCACTGGAAGTGCTCAAGGCCAGGTTGGATGGGGCTTTGAGAAATCAGATCTAAAGGAAGTTGTCCCTGCCCATGGCAGTGGAACTAGATAATCTTAAAACCCTTACAACCCAAGTCATTCTATGGTGGTCAAGCACAGCCTGATATCAGGAGTAAAGGTAAGAGCCAGGGCTTTTGTGCTAGAAAAAAAATTAATTTACATAGGATACACAGAAGTTACTGTGTCACCTCATGTTGAGGTAATTCATTGCGTGTGTTGTTATTGCTCACATGGGTGATGAAGAAATTAGGCCATTTTCTGCTCCTTTGGGGCTATAACACTACAGGAGTATTTTATACATTATTTACAACACTTCAGGGCGTGGGCTTGATATGGGTATATGAACAACAATAATCAAGGAGTAGGTTAGGACTTTCACTGTCTCCATTGAATGCATGCCCCATTATTGAATAATTTCTCTGCAGCTGCTAAGTTCTTGGATCAGTCTCTCTGTCACATAATGGTTAGAAACCAAATTTAAGGCTTCATCAACATCTTAGGTGTTCCTGCTTGTTGCATGTACAAGAGTGTCCTTTCCAACCAGCATATTTACACATGGAATGCATCCTGGGTTTTTCAGGGTTATAAGGCAGATTGAACCTGTGCTCACTGCAATTTGTATCCCAGATGCAATCACTGTTGCCAAAAAGGTCATGCATGCACTGCAGATATTGGGAGTCCATCAGAAGCCTGTGCACTGTTTGTGAGTAGTTAATGAACACAAGAGATTTCGACACATTAGCCCTTCCCTCTGTGTGTTGGTGTGGCCATGGTATCTGTAGAAAGGAAAGTATTATTACTATTAGCAGCTGCACCATGTATATAGATTTTATCATAGTGTCTGTATATAGATCTTCTCATAGTGTTTTCACTTTCAGTCTTTTAGAGAAAAATTTCAACCCTTATTCCTACCTGCCTGAATCACAGCATATATTTTATTCACACAAAAAAAGGTCCTCTTAAGTGAGTCTGCTATTCCTGGTTGATATGATATTTGTGCCTGTGCAAAACTAAGAGCAGACAAACCACTTTAGCAGAAATGCAGTAATCTTGTCATAGTCATAATAATGTGGCATTTATTCATCTTCTTGTGAATTAATATGAACTTGAAGAATTCAAAGAAAGTAAAAAGTCCAGTTTAAAAAAAAAAAAAAAGAGCTTTTTTACTTTCTGTGGTGGCTACCACTCAAGATTGCTCAGTGTCTCAACAGTTCTGTTTTCATTTGGTTCTCAATGTGCATCAGTAGACAAAATGGAATGGGTAAAAAACTGTTGCTGATGACACGTAAGAATCAGAAGTTAATGACAAAGGAATGTTTTTTAAGACCAGTTGCCTGTGATAACATTCTCTTGTATTTCAGATCTGAACATGATCCCTTTGAAATATAATTGAACAGAGGATATTCCATTAAAAGTTGTGATGACAAATCATTAATCAGTTTTGTTCTGAATCAGGTAAGTTGGTCATAACGCATAAATCAGAGAAGTGTTTCCTGGTTTTAGCTCCCATATCAACATTTTGCATGGTCCTGGGCTTCAGAGTTGTGTTAAAACTCATTATTCTTTTAAACCGACACCTTATTCTAAATAAAATTTTAATCAACCAGAATAAGTAAAAGAGATAATATTGAACAAAAAAGGTTCTGATAGTCACTCGATTTTATCAATGAATACTAAGCTACTACTCTCATGTTGTGTTTCATTTTTGATCTATTATTTGTTTTTTTCTTTCATTTAAAATTTACTCTTAGTTATAAATAAAAGCAGACAACTCTTATTCTCTGGAAACCTAAGTATAACTGACCCAATGTTATACAACAGGCAGGTAACACAAAGTGAAAACATTCTTGGAATTGACTCGTAAGTAGTGCTTGTTCTCAAATTGAACATGGTTTTGGTTTTACAATTGTGGTTTCTTTGTTTTAAAAACTAACTGGTTTCATGTCACTTAGAGCAGGAAAACCTAGTGCAGTGGCTTCCTCCACCCAATATGGTTAGAACACAAACTTAGCTGTGAAGCTGTTATCAGTGGCTGGAAAGTTAGGGGAAAGAATTGGCTGAAATTTTATTGATGGAGTAGGTTGAAAATGTATCAGAAATTCCATGCTCTTCTATAATCAGCTTCAGCATTGGGTGATGCTGACAATGGAACTAGTGCTGGGAGAAAATGTCTTGATAATTCCCACCCCAAACCTTAACACTTCATTATCATTCATAGAAGAAAAACAATTTTTTTCTCACAAATAAGTTTTCTCCCTCCCCCTCACAAGCCTGGCTAATTTTAGGATGAAGAAAAGTTTTGTGAGAAACAATTGCTTGTATGATGAAAGCAGGAGCTTTAGGATTCACTGGGCAGGGGAGAGGTATCTTTCAAGGAAAAATATTACATTGGGAAAAGGGCGAGAAAAGGGGAATGGATGTGCCAAAGTTTCTTATAATTTGTTACAAGTTTTCAATAGCAAGCTATACATGAAATTTTACCATCTCCATGCCACAATACTGTTTTTCTTCAGTATGTAACTGACCAAAGGATAACCAAATCTACCACTGCATGGTATGCTGTAAGGATAAGCTATTTTTTGTGAGGTTAGAAGAACCTAGGCTGAGAAGAGCTTACAACAACCTGGACTGATTTCCAATAACAATCTACATGATATGGAAGAGCATTTTTTACCACTGCTACTGACATCTGTCTATTGGGGAACTAGAAGCACCCAGAAAACACCAAATATAAGTCTGGTTTTGTGAGACACTAAATTAATGTTTTTACAATGGAGTCCTTATTTGGAATTTAGTGTTTAGAGGAGAAAGACAGGTTTGGTTGGCTGAGTGAGTAATTCTAATACTTCATCAGCTCAGGTAATTTGTAATACTTGTATTTCACTTTCACTTTCCAGTCAGTAGCTATGAACATATCCACTGGTTAAAGTGAGATGGTCTTCTGGAGACATGCAGCCTTAGCACAGACCTGCCATTCTGCCAGGGTGTGATCTTTGCTTATGTTTCCTCTGAGAGAGGAAAATCCACTTTCTGTGAGACTGAATTAGTCAGTAATCCTTGTCCATGGAAACAAAAAAATATCTGGACGCTAGAAAAATCAAAAAAACTGATAGTGTTGAAATAGGTAATGATTTATCTTCTTCTGAGATTAGGGTTCCAGTTTTCTGCTTTGGCCAACAGCCCTTAAATAAGCAAACTTCCTATTGCTTCTGAAAGCAACAAAGCATTGTACATAAATCCCTCTCTATTTCCTTCCTGCTCCCTCCTACAAAAAATAACTTAAAACATCTCTGCCTCACAAATTTTTTCACAGAGACACTAAGCAGAGATAAAAGAAAAAAGAAACAGAAAAAAAAAAAAGAAAATAAATAAAGAAAAGGAGTTTCTACTTTTTGGTTATGAGGTTTTTCAGTCAGTGAAAATATTCATTCTGTACATGAACACTTTAATTATCTCTTCTTCCTTCTCTCTGCACTCACAGAATCCCTTTCTCAGTCCTAAGACTTACAATGACCCTCAGAGAGGGCACATTACACTTCACTTCCTCTGCTAGCCATCACAATATCCCTCACCCCTTTTATGCCTGCTTCCACACAAGGACCTTTTCCTGAACAGCTTTGCTGTTCATCAGTCTTTATCGCATTAGCAATTCCAGAAGGTTTTAAATTCTTCATAAGCAGCATTCAACTAGATAAATATCAGTGGGCAGCATAAAGGCATCCTGACATCATCTACCTCTACCCTCAGTTCCTAACAATCAAGCAAGATTTGGTTGATTCTTGTGACTTTGTTCTTACACCGTAAAAATCCTTGTAAACTTTGCCAAGTTACACGTGCAGAACTGAAGACCATGTCAGCACTGTACATGGCAATAATCTCACCCTTTGTTCAGTGAAATTGATTAAGAGAATGGCTCTGGAAATGTGTAAAAGCATCAATGTGCAGCACGGGACTCGAAGGAGGATGTCTGCATATACAGACAGCACCTGTGCAGACCTTTCTTTCTCAGGCTTTTATATCACACCCATTGCTTTGGTGAGCACCCTCTCAGTCATTATAAGAAATACCTATTTTCTTCAAGACTTCCCTGTGGAGGTGGATTCCTGGATGTTTTTGCCCTCATTTTTCTGAAGAGACCTCTGAGACCTTGTGGCTGAGTCTCCTAGGGTCTGTATGGGTTCACAGTGGAGATTTGCTTTGCAAATGTGGCATTGCAAAGAACTGTGAATATCGATCCTGGCGTGAACAAATTCTGTGCAATGAATAAAAGAGGCAAGGTGAGGCTGCAAAAACAAAAAAAAATTTATTTCAATTTCCCTAAAATCCATTCATGTTTTATAAGGGTTGGATGACCATGTGGTTGAAAGCTAAGTGGCAGCCAGTAGAAGACTGTATGTGTATCAGACAAAGCAAATTCTTATTGTAGCTGGTCTAGAATCAGATAAATTGCACTATGTCACACTGAGGAGCTTTTACCACTCATGGAATGAATATCTCAAAAACTCATAAGACTGTAGATATAAAGATGGAAAAACTTAAATTATTTCCCATGTTTTGGTGACTATTTGAGAGTTTTGGTGTATGTCTTTTGTTGGAAATATTGATCATTCTGATAATTTTTACTAGTTACTGAGTGATTTCAGACCAGTGCATCCCCTACAAGTCAGAATAAGCTCTATCTAAAATATCTATGTGCAATGCAGTAAAGATGGATTCCTTTGTTTGGGAAGTCATATGTCTAAAGTAGAAAACAACTCACTTCTTTTTGGGTCACTTTCTACAGAAAGGAAGTCAAACCTCTGACTTCATGAGAAAAGACATGAAAAATAGTGTCAGTTGAGATAAATTTGATTTTCTCAGCTCCTGAATACATAAATTATCTTGTACTAGTATATTGACAAGGCAGTACAACAGACAGTTACTTTTCAAAAAGACTATTATTAATATTCCAGTTTATCATATTAAAAATCAGTTACTTAAATTAGGTTTCTAGATCTGTACACATAGGAACAGAAATAGTTAGCGATCATTTGAAAATAACTCAGCCAGGTTTATAGTCCTGTTTTTTAGGACTTTGTTGCTTTTATAAAAGACAACGGCGACCTGGTTACAAGAAGACAGCACGGCAGCCCGGCTTCGCCCGGGCTACTCGGACTAACGACACACGCTGGCACCAATTTGGTGGACGGTCGAAAGCGTTTATTATCTTATCTCATGGGTTTAAATAGGTTTGGGGGTCTTTGCTACGTCAGAGGGGGGCTGGGGGTTTCAGGGACAGTGGGTAGTGGAAATTTACCAGAACAGGTGTGGCTACATTCTTCTGGGACTCTTGGGGTTAACTAGATAAGTGGGGAAGAGAGAGAGGGGGGAAGGGGTCTGTCTTTCCGTGACATCCCGGTAATCTTCCGCTCGCCTGTCCCTATCTTACCACAGGACTTTTCTCTAGTTTTCAGGAACACCTGAAACTTTTCTGAATTATCTTTTCACCTTAGAACATGTGATTGAGATCCCAGAAAATCTTCAGCCTGAAGAGTTTACAACTCTTCTCTTCTTACTCTTGTCTATAAAGTCCTCTCCTTTCATAACTTGCCACAGTGATGTCCTCACTACCATATTTCCATGACAGAAATCACCTGTTATTCATCTATTCTTTTTGTGGAAGAAAACGTTACAAAAACACCAGGGCTATTGGCTCAGCCACAAAAAGGCAGAACTGTGTGCGTGCATAAAGAAATACCATTTCACACTTCCACCTGGGTGCAGAAGTGAAAGGTTTGTGGTGAGTAACTGATGCCACCCTGGTTGTGTGACAGCTGATCATACCCAGAAAACAGGAAAATTCCCTCAATATTTCTCACACAGGTGCATAAACTAACAGAGGAAAGGCTTTCCCACTAGCTATAATTTGAACTGTATCTCATTTTTTTCCACCCTTCTTCCCACAAATTCAACAGCTCAGAAAGTGACGAGTGTTTTTAGAAATGATAGGGTTTATACAGTTGGAAATTTCTGAACTCAGCACTGTGTTAGTAAATAAGTTGACAAAGCAGATGGGTTAATGGAGTGTAAACACCACTAATGGAGGACAGGCTTTTAAATAAAAAGTTAGCGCTGGAAATATTTCTCTCATCTCAAACCTTGGACTGAAAATGCTCTAGACGGATGTAAGTTCACACATAAGACCTGAATCTGGCCAGCAAATTTCAGCTTGCAACCCCAGAGGCCTTCTGAAGAGCTTGTCAACTAGACCATGGTAAGCATCTTCTTGGGAGGCTTGAACATCACACGGAGGCTTGTACTTCCCCTTGAAGACAGGGAGTTAAAAAATGAAAACAGTTTGGAAACACTGATTTAGACTGTTTGGGAAAAGCCCAACAGAGGCTCAGACACCCTGGCTATGCTGTTATCCTCAAGAAAACCCTTCCTGTCAGAAGGACTGAATTGGAGACAATAAA